CTCAATCTTGTTACAGTAACTTCCTTCATTCATTGTATTTGAAATTAAGTACATAGGGAAAAAACGGGTTGCTCTAAGGGGTTTAGTAAGTCCACTTGAAGTGGTATTAAAACAAATGGAAGTAATTGAGAACAACAACTCAATCACACAGCTGTAGGGTTTATAAAATCAATGAGTATGGTCATAAGAAAGTTCACGAAACATTCAGTGGTAATGCATGGAAAGGATTTCCATGGACCAGCAGCCTCATCCAAACCTTTCAATATCAAGTGCAGCATAAAGAGTTAAAAGCATCATTGTAAAATGTGCTTCCATGCATTACAGTGTAGTAGGGATGTGTTGTCTGGAGTGAAAAACCAGGCCACTCTGTTGAGCAATTCAAAGGACAAGTCTGGATTTGACAGATGCCATGATGACACTTGCCAGAAGGCGTTAAGCAAAGTGCAATATTTTGTGCTAAGGGGATTATAGTGGGGGGGTATTTCTGAGAAGTTCAGCTTGTCTCCAGAGTTCTAGTGAAAGAAATCTACATTCATCAGTAGATAAAGACATTTTGAGGAATTTCCTAGGCCAGGTTTTTTCGAAACAATCTGGATTTGGCCCCTTCATGTTCCAACTTCACTGGAAGGCCATGAAGAACTTAACTAGCTTGATTAGTATCCTTATGTCAATAGGGTTAAAAAAAAAAAAAAACATTTTAAATGAACTGGTGCAGAGACTGTAACCCAGGAGTTCTTGTTCAACATCAGTGTCTGACCTTTGGAAATTTCTAAAGAATTTCTCGAACCTCCTGGAAAACCTTCCCAGAAGAATTCAATCTGTAATCACTATAAATAACACAGCAAATTACAAAATAAATGTCTCTCATGTCCTATATCTGTGTGTGAATTTACAAGAAATGTAATTTTGGAAATAAATTATACGGTCCTGAAGCTCCTTCCCTTGAGAAAAAAGAAATTTTCCACTAATCCAGACAGACACTCTGTTTTCTTGTATTAAACCATTGCCTCAAACTCAGGGAAGTTGGCTTCAATCCCTGAACCCTACACTGTGTAGCAAACAATTTTAGTGGCTGTGAAGTTCATGGCTCTGAGTTTTACAGTCCAGACAACTTTGTCATAAAATTCTATCCGTTAAACTCAGAAGAGACTGGTGAAAACTGGCATTCCTGTTCAGCCAAAACCAACTAAGTAAACTCTTGAACTTGTGTGGGCAATGCATTCTCAGGAGATCTTTTATTAAATAGCCTGTATAAGTAACCCTAACGTGATTTATTCCCTCAGCACTACCCTTCAAAACATACATTGGCTCGATAATCAGAATCAGGAAATTCTTTTCTTGCAGTGCAACCATTTATAGAAGAGAAATACAAATAAGATATAATAACAATATAATAACAAAATAAGGATCACTTTATATACAATCGACAGTATTTACATTTTTACAATGCCATTCAGTACCAAACTACTAAGTTATTGCGCATAGAGAAGAAATAAAACAAATAAATAACAAGTAATGAAATGAAATGACTGACAGAGAGATGAATTACACAGTTTGATGGCCATAGGTAGGAATGACTTCCTGTGGTGCAGCGTGATGAAATGAGTCTCTGACTAAAGGTGGGTGACCAGCACATCATGAAGAGGATGTGCAGAAATTTGAAATTGGAAGACCCCATTAGCAACTTGTGTTAAGATCTACTTCTCTAGTCTAAGACCTGACTCAAAGCCACATGAAAACGATTACAAAAATAATCATTTGGTCAATTCTTTCCTTTAAGGTACCCGTCGCTATTTGCTGAAAGGACAGAAAAAAGATTAAATGTAGGTTTTTTAAACAATCCCCTTTAGAAATGCAATAAAA